GACATAGCTTTAGGCTGCTGCTCCAGATATTGCAAATGTCTCCTGATAAAGGGCCCTGACTTTGCCTAATATTCTCAGGACTATTTCTTAGCCAACAAGATTATTTTTAAATCTGTGGGTAGAGGGATGAAACAGTGGGTAGAGGGATGAGACACTGTTCTTGGCATGATTTGGGACCCACTCTGTTACTGTTCTAGGAGCAACAAATCTAGGCCTTTTTAATTTCTTTGGTTATTTATAACAAAGGTGGTAAAAACACATTGGGTTATGTTTGGAATAGCAAGGCTGTGGCTTGTTCATCTTTACATAGATCTATCAATGGAATGGGAATCAAACTTAGACTGCTCACTACATTTACTTACGGGAACTATACTTTAGCCATAGCTGATGCCACCTAATTTGTGCTCTTTTCTCATACTTTTATATCTCCAGTCACTGTAATATTTTATATATCACCAATCATGATAGTATGTAGTGCTAATAGGCCTTTGTACACAATTCAGCAAGGTACTTAAACACATGTCTAACTTCAGGCATAAAATTCTATGGAACGTCACAGGTGATTGAAATTAGTTATGTGCTGAAGTCCCTTTCTCAATGGAGGCCCTGGCCCCCTTCAAAGATGCACAGCTGCTGCCATAAAAAAGTCAACACCAGAGTTACCACCCAGTGATATCTGAGATGATCTCCCCACAGATAAAACAGAAACATTACTGTGGTACCTCCGATACCACCGGTGCTAAATCTGGATCATTGCTGGCATCTTAATGACACCCACTGCCAACGACCACATACTATTTCCAGAACTATGCAGCAATAGTTCATATTTAATTGCACATCTTAATGTTGGCCTGTGGGAAATTACGCAAATGGTTCTCAATGACATTTTTCTAGGCACACAGAGGACAGTCACATCCAAAAGTGGTAATAACAACAAAGCACAGTCTTACATACAACAGAAATGTAGTAATACAGCATTTGCCATTCTGTTCCCTGCATTCTGTAAGGGTCAACTCAACAACAAAGGCAGAGAACATCCAACCAGAAACTCCAGCTGGTAGGGGCAGAAGCAGTCAGAGCAGGACCTCTGGATACAGGGGCAGCTCTAGGCACCAGCAAAGCAAGCAGGTGCTTGGGGCGGCCCATTTGCAGGGGTGGCAGGGATCCAGCATGGGAGCTGAGAACCACTAGGGGGCCCTGGGAGCTGTAGTTCCTTGGTTAGCTCCCTGCCTATAGAGCCAGCCCTGGAGCAGGGAAAGAACTAAATTTCCCAGCATTCCCTTGGCTGCTATCAATAGGAAAGGGAGGGGGAGGGAGTGAGGTAGCTGAGACCTCATGCTGCAGCTTGCTGTGAATGGAGAGCTGCACTGTGAAGGGT